GGTGACTGGGAGTTCTAGTCCCGCTTTAGGCATGAAAGCCAGCTGGGTGACTCTGGGCCAAATGTTTCCCTCTCAGCCCAATTCACCTCACAGAATTGTTGTTGTGGGGGAAAACAGGAGGAGGAAGGTGAGTTGAATACATTTGCTGCCGTGAGTTGTTTGTGAAAATAATAAAAGCGGCATATAAATAACTAAATAACTAAAAAATAACTAAATAACTAAAAGATAACTAAATAACTAAAAAATAACTAAATAACTAAATATTAAAGTCATGCGCTGCCCAACTGCCAACCCTCTGGGCGAATCACAACCATCGAAACCAAGAATTCACAACATAAGCAGGTGAGGGAGAAAAGTCGACAGGCTGTCCAGGCAAAGGAGTGACGTCATCCTAAAGGGGGCGGGGCTTAAGGGGCAGGACTAAAATGAAGGGTCCCCCCCCCCCCCGAAGCCGGGCTCACCCATTCCTTCTTGCGGCTGTGGCTGGTGAAGTCATAAACGGGGATCTTGACGCTCTTCCCTTGCTTGAGCTTCTTGAGCGTGGCGATCATCAGGTCGAAATCAAAAGCATCCGGATGGTCAAAGTTGAAATCGTTGCTGGCGGCCAGTTCCTGCTGCTCTTTGGTCAGAATCTGTCACCCAGACAACGAGATTTAGAGGAGAGGGGTAATGGACAGCCCAAGAAAGGTACCGGCAGTCCTCGACTTACAACCACAATTGAGCCCAACATTTAGAAATGGGAAGACGAATGGAATGGAATGGAATGGAATAGAATAGAATAGAATAGAATAGAATAGAATAGAATAGAATAGAATAGAATAGAATAGAATACGGAAAGGAAAGGAAAGGAAAGGAAAGGAAAGGAAAGGAAAGGAAAGGAAAGGAAAGGAAAGGAAAGGAAATAGAGGAGAAGGAAAGAAAATGGAGGAAAAGGAAAGGAAATGGAGGAGAAGGAAAGGAAATGGAGGAGAAGGAAAGGAAATAGAAGATAGGAAAAGAAATAGGGGAGAAGGAAAGGAAATAGAGAAGGAAGGAAAAGGGAAGGAAATAGAGAAGGAAAGGAAAGGAAAAAAATAGGGGAGAAAGAAAGGAAATGGGGAGAAGGAAGGAAAAGGAAATAGGAAAGGAAATAGAGAAGGAAAGGAAAGGAAATAGAGAAGGAAAGGAAAGGAAATAGAGAAGGAAAGGAAATAGAGAAGGAAGGAAAGGGGAAGGAAATAGAGAAGGAAAGGAAAGGAAATAGGGAAGGAAAGGAAGGAAAAGGGAAGGAAATAGAGAAGAAGGAAAAGGGAAGGAAATAGAGAAGGAAAGGAAAGGAAATAAAGAAGGAAGGAAAAGGAAAGGAAACAGAGAAGAAAAGGAAATAGAGGAGAGGAAAGGAAATAGATGAAAGGAAAGGAAATAGTGGAGAGGAAAGGAAAGGAACAGAATAACAGAGTTGGAAGGGACCTTTGAGATCTTCTAGTCCAACCCCCTGCTCAGACAGGAAACCTTATACTGTTTCAGACAAATGGCTGTCCAGTCTCTTCTTAAAAACCTCCAGCGCTGGAGCAACCACAACTTCTGGAGGCCAGCTATTCCACTGGTTGTTTCCTGTCAGGAAATTCCTCCTTCGTTCCAGGTTGCTTCTCTCCTTGATTCGTTTCCATCCATTGCTTCTTCTCCTGCCTTCAGGGGCTTTGGAGAACAGCTTGACCCCCCTCCTCTTTGAGGCAGCCCCTCAAATATTGTGAGACGGCTCTCATGTCACCCCTGGTCCTTCTCTTCATTAAACTAGGCAGCCCCAAATTCCTGCAACCGTTCTTTGTATGTTTTAGCCTCCCGTCCCCCTCATCCTCTTGGTTGCTGTTCTCTTGGTCCTTTCTTTACCTGACTCCTCGGGACCCACCACCTGAGCTGTTGAAGGGGAGGGAGGATTCTCACTGCTGGCCCCCTCATCCCGCCTGTCTGGATTTTCAACCCCCCTGCGGGATCTGTGGGGCTCTTCTCACCTTATAAAAGGAGTCCATGGACAGCAAGACCACCCACGGCACGTCCAATGCCTCGATGATCATCCTGGCCACTGTGGTCTTCCCGGAAGCGCTGCCCCCACCCAGACCTGGAGAGGAGCGAAGGCCCAAGGCAGAATGTTGACCACGGTCTTGCAAGGTAGGCTCAGATCAAGAATGCTTTCCACCCTGCTGAAAAGGGAGACTTCCAACCAGGGGTGGTGTTATGGTTTGCCAGCAGCAGGTGCGGATGGCTGAGGTCTCGGAGAGCGAGGACTCAGGTGAGGGGCCTGCGTGTCATGCAGGGATGGGGCCAGGAGTGGAGTGCTGTCTTCGGAGCTTGTGGAGGCTGGCAGCAGTGAGGAAGAGGACCCAGAGGAGCCTGTGCCCAGTATATGTGTGCTCAGGGCTGCTCGAAGGAAAGAGCAGCTGCAGTAGCATAAGCAACTCAGGAGTAAGGCTGCAAGATAATGGCCCCTCTCTTAAGAGATAAAAGCCAGCTGAGAATCCGACGTTCTTTGCAGGAAGCAAAGAAGTTTTTGCACTCAAGCCTTGTGGACTTTCGGACTCTCTTACTTGGTGTTTTGGAGACTCTCTGTGTTTGAAATATTTCTTGGCAACTTTATCTAGTGTTCTTGGCAGCCTTGCACCACCTTGGCAAGGCTCGTTCTTATCAGAGACCATTAGTTTGAAACAGCCTTTAAACCGTGAAGGAACGGAATTCGTAAAGAATCATTAAAAGGTTTTGCTGCTACCTCCGTTTGGTGTTCGTTGCCTTGGAACAAGGTTTAGGTCAGAACAGGTGGAATTCAAAAATCCCAGCAAACGGTTCGCTGCCCGGTTGCTGGGTGGGCGTGGCCATGGTGGGCCTGGCCTACTGGAACTTCTGGGAGGGTTGTTTTTCGGCTTCACTCGAGCCTCTGGGAGGGAGAAAATGGCCGCCACTGGGCTCTGGAGGCCTATTTCTGGACTTCCGGTACTCCCAGAAGGGCCGGATTTTCCTCTTTTAGAGCCTCCATGCAGGCCCTGCACTTAACCTCCACTGAAAATGGGCCATGTGGAGACTCCGGGGAGGGGAGGGGTGAGGTGGGTGGGGCCAGCCGGTCGGTTCAAATACCAGTTTGGCGAACCAGATGCAAATTTAACATCCGGTTTGCCCAAACCGGTCCAAACCGGTAGAATCCCACCCCTGCTTGCAACCTGTAAACCTCACCTGGAATTTCTTAGTTGCCATTGTTTTCACTCAGGGATGGGCAACCATGGCGCCTTGAGGACCACGCCGGCTCAGGAATTCTGAGAGCTGACGTCCACACGTTGCAAACGTGTTCATAGTTGCCCATCTCTGCTTTATTCACAGGGATCGGGGCCCAACCGCCATCCAGGGTGGATAAAAAAATCATAATTAAAAAATAAATAAAAATAAAAAAAATTGGGGATTTTAAACAAATTTAAAATTGACCAAATATATTTTTTATAAAATGCTGTTGGAATAAAAATCCATCTAAAGATAGCTTTCTCTTTAAGATACACGAAACATTTAGTTTATTCCGCAGGAAACGGAGTTGAGTTACGCGGCAGGAGGCCGTATATTCTGCAATATTGGGACTTTCGGTGAGTCAAGAGCGGGTCAGAGGAGCAGCTGCTGTGCTCTTTAAAAATGACCGATTTAAATCAAGTTGATTTAAATCGAGTTGATTTAAATCAAGCCCTTTTACTAGTGATTTAAGTCGTGATTTAAACTGACTTGATTTAAATCAAAACCACCCTGCTGCCTCAATGGGTGGTCTGTCAGGGGTGGGCTGCTACGGATTCGCCCGGATTCAGGAGGACCTGTTGCTAATGTTATGGCTGGATCGGAGAACCGCCCAATCCCACGCCTGACTGGCCCTGCCCCTCCTACCCTGCCCCTCCAGTGGCGGGATTCAATTTTTTTTTTACTACTGGTTCTGTGGGCGTGGCTTGTTGGGCGTGGCGGGGGAAGGATACTGTAAAATCTCCAGTCAGAGGTGGGATTGGCCGGTTCTCCGAACTACTCAAAATTTCCGCTACCGGTTCTCCAGAACCGGTCAGAACCTGCTGAATAACCACCTCTGCACCCCTCCCCTCCCAGGACTCTCCATGCAGCCTGTTTTGGATGCCAGCTAAGTACAGGGTCCACGTGGAGGCTCAAGGAAGGGGAAAAAACGGGCCTCCCAGAAGTTCCGGAAGTCCGGAAATGGGCCCGTTTCCAGCCTCCGGAATGCCTCCGGAGCCTGGGGGAGGCTGTTTTGGCCCTTCCAGAGGCTCGAGGGAAGCCTCCGGAGCCTGGGGAAGGTGAAAACAACCCCTGCTGTGGTGCAGGAGGCTGTCTAGGCCACGCCCACCGTGACCGTGCCTACCCAACAACTGGGCAGAGAACCCGTTGCTGACATTTTTTGAAGCCCCCTCCCACCTCCTGTCCCAAACTACCTCTCCCCCCCTCCAGTTCAACACGGCGCCCCTCACCGATAACAAATGCCTCTTTGGACTGTGTGCCATGTTCGTTGTACCAGGGGGGCCGGCCTGCGGTGTAGATGGTCCTTTTACTGGTTCGTAGAAGGGGAGGCTCCGATTTGGATTGGCTGGTGGTACGTTTCCGGGGGGATTTGGTTCCGACGATTGCGGGCAGCAGGCGTTCCAAGGTATCTGCACTGTGGTTGCTATAAAGGAGGAGAGAGAGAGAGAGAGAGGTCAGTTTTGGATCATCAGCAGACAGAAATAACAGAGTCGGAACGGAGCTTGGAGGTCTTCTAGCCCAGTGTCAGGGCTCTGGCAGTTACCCCCATTTAAATCATGAGACTCTAGTCCCGTGATGGCGAACCTATGGCATGCGCACCACAGGTGGCAGGCAAAGCTATTTGTGCTGGCACGCGAGCTGCAGGCAAACTTACCTCACTGTTCATGCGCATGCCTAAC